CTAGAATATGTTAGAACACTTTTCAATTTAAGTCTACCTAGGTATTGAAGGAGCAAGAGAAAATTTTAAAAATCTTAAATGGATTTTTATTCTGGAACGATTTATTTAATAAAAATAACCAAAACTAAACATTTCACAATTAAATTCCTTGCAAAATCGGACACTAACAATTGGGGATTTAAAAAAAATTAAACTTTGCATACGTATTTTTAGGATTTTAAGGCATATTCCCCTTATTATACAATTCTTGAAGAAATGGTGATATGTTGGCCCAAATCTAACCTAATGGTGATATGTTGGACCAAATCTAACCTAATGGTGATATGTTGGCCCAAATTTAACCTAATGGTGATATGTTGGCTCAAATCTAACTTAATGGTGATATGTTGGCCCAAATCTAACCTAATGATGATATGTTGGCCCAAATCTAACCTAATGGTGATATGTTGGCCCAAATCTAACCTAATGATGATATGTTGGCCCAAATCTAACCTAATGGTGATATGTTGGCCCAAATCTAACCTAATGGTGATATGTTGGCTCAAATCTAACCTAATGATGATATGTTGGCCCAAATCTAACCTAATGGTGATATGTTGGCCCAAATCTAACCTAATGGTGATATGTTGACCCAAATCTAACCTAATTTTGCATAAATTATTATTTTGTAATAATGTGTAAGTACGCAATTGACAATTTTCTCCTTTTAATATGTTTTGATTAATTTATAGTTTTCCTTGCATTAAAAACAAAGAAATTGAAGACTCGCCACAAACTGTGATTTTCTAATCCATATTTTGAACTTTATATTGTTTTTGTTTTTTTTAATTTCAAACTTTGATTATATGATCGATCTGAATTAAAAGCTTGAAAAATAAAAGGTCTAAGACATATAACATATTACTGATATCAGGGCTAGAAAAATAGAGAATCAGAGAGAAATCAGTTCCTTAAAATAAAAGGTCTAAGACATATAACATATTACTGATATCAGGGCTAGAAAAATAGAGAATCAGAGAGAAATCAGTTCCTTAAAATAAGCTTTTTCAATTTTTCTTGAATAAAACTTTCTTTAACTTCTGTATGTCATCATATAACAATATATACTATGCTATGAGGTAGACCCACATAATGTAGAAAGTTTGTAAATTGTGTTGAAAACTTAGAAAACTGGTGAATATCAGGAAAATTGAGTTACTTCCTCCATTCAGCTTAGATTTCATATAATGATTAATCTTGCACTCTATTACCTTATATCAACCTGAGATCAAGATATTTTTACATTACCGGGAGAACTGAACTCAACATTCAGGAAACTTAGAAAATATTTTTTTTAGAAAGGATTCACAATTCAAAAATAACCAAGCAAATCCAATCTAAAATTTTATTTTTAGAACCTCAGATGTAATTTATAATTGTCTATTTGAAATCAAAGGATGATGAAAAGGATTGCTTTCAACTCATATCATTCAAATCAATTTAAAAAATTTAAAATGTCAGACTATAGAGGACGTGAGGTCGATCTCTAATGAAACGCACAAAGTAACTTCCAGTATATATTTCTTATAACGTTTACTAGAGGGTTCAAAAACGTGTTAATATCAACATCACACGCGTTAGACTGAAATTACAATTCCTCGTATCCGTTCTATCTCATTCCGGTGAATCTTGTGGAACTTGTTTTAGGCGGCCAGGTATCGTCTTCCACAAGATCATAAATATTCATATTATTATAAGGCTTTTTACAAAAGCTACATTTACTAAACGTTTCAGCCCTTTAAATAATTTAAATATGTTGTTTATATGCTTAAGAGTACAGTTTTATATTTCATTTAAACTTAGAAATAGATTTTTCTTCAAAACGGCATTTTTTTACTAGAAATCAAATGATATAAATTCCATTGAATCTGTAGAATGTCCCCCATTAACAATCCTTCATGAATTCTATGTATACATATTCTGGAATTGGATTTCTGTTTGGAAATACCAAAGTTTTTTATCCTCAGGAAAAACAAGTTTCTAGATTCTTTATGCACAGATGCCTGATTCTCAGGACACCAGATTGTTGCGGTGTTTTATTTTCTAATTAGTTTTCTAGAGATCTTTGGAATCTACTTTCCTTTACATTCAACTATATTCGATACACACGAATATATTGTCAAAACTAGTATTTTTGTAGAAAATGTAAATCTAAGTATGGTGAAAGCTTTGAACATAAGCCTGCACATCGTTATTCTGGTTTTAAGTATTTGAATTCTTTGAATGTTTCTGGAGTTTATATTACAAGTTTTTAGGGCGCTTCGCTCCATTTTTTCTTGGAATGAGTTTAATGTGTGATCTTCCGATGTTTTCTGATAATTTAATAAATTCCTTCCATCAACTTTTTTCTCCATCAATTCAACTAGATATGATGTCGAACAGTTGTACCAGTAAGGAATTGAGTCTTTCCAACAAATCCCAATTTTCTAATACCTATATATCACAACCAAACCATGTAAACCTTAGATATTTAAAACTTTGATTGTTTGATATAACAAAAGTCATAGTTTGAAATATCTAAGGTCTAGAACATTGGGTTGTTAAGATATAGGGATTTAAAACCAGAGTTTGTGGCCAATACTCAATTCCTTTCAAATAAAACTTCATCCAAATTAATTTTTAGATAATTAGTGCAGTATCCATTATTCTTTAATTGGAAATGTGTATAATATATTTAAAAAAAGTTCTGTTCCCGTAGAATAAAAATAATAAGTGTATGAACAATAAAATATAAATAACGCATACAACTGTGTCATATAGACAAAGCAATTAGATATCCAATATTTAATTGTATAAACCTTCTCTGTCTTATATAATTAAATTTATTATATAAAAACAAGTGTTGGTAATATGTATTTTTCTACAGTTTACTGTTTCTTGTCTACTATCTACTGTCTACTGTATACTGTCTATTGTCTACAGTCTACTGTTTACTGTCTACAGTCTACTGTTTAATGTCTACAGTCTTTTGTTTACTGTCTAAAGTCTACTGTTTAATGTCTACAGTCTACTGTTTACTGTCTACAGTCGACTGTTTAATGTCTACAGTCTACTGTTTACTGTCTACAGTTTATTGTTTACTGTCTACAGTCTAATGTTTAATGTCTACAGTCTACTGTTTAATGTCTACAGTCTACTGTTTAATGACTACAGTCTACTGTTTACTGTCTACAGTCTATTGTTTACTGTCTACAGTCTACTGTTTAATGTCTTCAATCTATTTTTTACTGTCTACAGTCTACTGTTTATTGTCACCTGTCAACTGTGTGCTGTGAACAGCGTACTGAATAGTGTGTGTGTACTGCGCACTGTGTACGGTGTACGGTGTGCTTTTGTCTGTCTACTTACTCTGTACTTTTTACACTTTATAGTGAATAAACTACATATAATTTCTTGTTTTTATTCATTGGTCTATTTATTTACATATATTAATACACACAATATGATCGATGATATGGAATACCAAAAAGGACAGAATATTTGTTTTATGAGAATTTAAAAAGTTTTCTTAGTGTGTTTACAAACACAAATACTAATATAAAGCCATTTAAACGTTATATGATGATGTATTAAAAATTTTTAACAAATATTTAAAAACAATATAAGACTATAAATATTTCCCTGCTCTTTGAATTTTTTAAAATAAAATAATAATATTACATACTTTTTTTTCAATATTATTTCTACTTAAAAGCTTCATTTTACCAAGCATGAAGTAATGTTTCAAGTCTAATCATAAATACTAATTTTAAAACTTTTCATTATAATCTCCCACTCTAGCTCCGTCCATTTAATAAATATAAATATTGTGTACAAAGGGAACTTAAATGTTGGTGCATACATATCCTTCCTGGACAATTTTTTTCCCTGCAGGGATAAAACATAATATATCCTAATATACAGAAAAATGCCATATTTCAAATATTTAATATACATATTCGTTGTGCTTGAAAAAATTACCTTAAAGAGCTGTGAAAACTGATTTCGTAATCAAAATGAAAGATCCGTTAACCCTATTCCCGCTGGGGGGGGGGGGTCAATTTGACCCCCCCCCCTGTAGTTTTTTCTACATAACTCAAAAAGTATTGGTCTGAGGCTGTTGAAATTTTCTGACTTTTCTTACATACCCAAAGCCCACCCTTTAGGCCTAAAACCGGGCTTTAATACTAACTGCCTGAGTCCTCAGGCACACTGCCTGAATGACTGCTTTTGCCTGTAGCAAACTAAATCTTTGTTTTGACCCACTTTCACTTGTCAGATTTTGATAAAATTTAGCTTTTTGGAAAGCCTATGACATAAGGAAACGGATTGCACAAGTTTTGCGAAAAAAAAATTGCAAATTTTTTGCAAAAAACCTGTCAAAGGAAATTTGCACATTTTTAGTTTTTCTTGATTAAAAATCAGGTTATTTAAAATTTTGCAAACATTTTTGCATATTTGAAATGGCATGGTCAAGGGCTTTTCAAAAATGTATAATTTCTCATTTTTTGGACAAATTTTTTTTTGCAAATATTTTTACTATAAAACTGGATTTTGCGATAAAAAATTCAATTTTCGCAAATTTGCAAATTTTTTTGCAGATTCTAAAAGTAGAGCACAAGAGCTTTCTAATGATGTATCATTTGTCATATTTGGACATAAAACATGGGATTTAGAGGGGGGGGTCAAATTGACCCCCCCCCAGCGTATCCTGGTTTTCAAGTACCCCAGCGGGGATAGGGTTAAGTTGTTAGTTTTATAAAAAACAAAAACCTAATTTAGGACATCATATTACGCATTTTTTATGCTTAGGATAGGGTACAGGTCAGAAATAAGGCCCGTGGTAAAAAAATTAACAAAATTGGCCCTTAACTTTTTATTATCAAAACCACATAACTTAAAACTTTTTCAAAAATTACATAATCTTGGCTTAATTTATTAATAAATAACAAATATTTTAACCTAAGCTTGTAATATTTTAGTGAACAGCAAGGATGAAGTGCTGAAGATATCTCACAATCTGGAGATAAATCTTCCTCCTTCAATACACTCCCTTCATCCTGGTAGCGTGGTTACTGTAGAGATTGGTTCTACGGTAAGTCAAAAGTCGAATAATAATTTTTTTAGTTTTAAAAAGAATCCAATTTTTATATATCTATTATCCGTACAAAGTGAATTCGATACCTATTCAATTAATGCTAAATTCGTAGAAATCCTACTAATTCATCATTTGCAAAAATATTCTTTTTCTCTTTTCAAAATCTTAAAAGAAGAAGAGTTTTAATTTAATTTACTTTTAAACAATAAAAAAATATAAACAAAAGATTCAGTAAAATGCAAAAAGAAAATGACAAAATCGATTATCTACTGGGAATGACTGTGTTTTGCTTTCTTTCTATAGAAAGTTTTCTAAAATGAAATCACTTGTCAAATATTGATCAAAGGAATACCAAATGATGCATCTCATTCAATCTTTAAGATTCCTTCAAGGGGGGAAATAGACTCCTGGGAGGATACACAATTATTTTATTTTGGCAGGACGCGTGTTTTTGAACAAAGTTTTAATCTCTGTATCTTAAAAGTTCTTGCCTATATAGATTATATTTTGTCCCGAGCTTTAGCGATAAAGAAAAAATTTATGTCTAAAAACTTTAAAGTTATTTTAGTATTTATTAGAAAACCAAGATGTTTAGAATACATATTGGAATATTGGAAACATCTTCATAAACCACTGGATAAACTTTGAACTTATTATTTTATCTTTTACCGAGGTCATAGGTTGTACACTGTACACTGTACACTGTACACTGTACACTGTACACTGTACACTGTACACTGTACACTATACACTGTATACAGAACGGTGAAATACCCCTTACCCTTCACCCTCAACTAAGCTTTTGGTGGTTGTGCAATGACCGAAGATTAAAGGGACTATCCTTGTAATTTCAAGTTACCCTCCATTAAAAAAGGGGAAATTTTGTTTACATTTTTTGTCGTCGTTATTTCATAATTTAAAAAAAAATTCTCAAAACCTATCTACCCAAAAGTACGATTTTGAACGTCGACTTTGCGCTCTAATTCAGTAATTGTACATCGTGGAAAAGTTTCATATGTCTCAAATGAATCCTAAATAATTTGTCCACAACACTGCATACTCAGTTTAACCACCTTAAATTTAATATGATAATAAAAAACACAAACAAAATTCCTAGATTTTTTTTTTGTCTGTTTTTTCTTTTCTCTTTTTAAATTGCGGATATTCAAGAGTGAGTACCTAATACATTAATAAGTACAAGTGTTAAGGTGCACTTAATGTATTGGAAAACCTCCTGTCTATGTATATATACATTTTACATATATGTATGTCTATAAACCTCTTATCTATGTATATATACATTTCTACATATATGTATATCTATAAACCTCCTATCTATATGTATATATACATCTCTACATATATGTATATCTATAAACCTCCTATCTATGTATATATACATCTCTACATAAATGTATATCTAAAAACCACCTATCTATGTATATTAACATTTATACATATATGTATATCTATAAACCTCATATCTATGTATATATACATTTCTATATATACGTATATATAAACCTTCTATCTATGTATATATACATTTCTACATATATGTATAAATATAAACCACCTATCTATGTATATATATATTTCTACATATATGTATAGAGATTAGAAAATCAGAGTTTGTGATAAAGGCCGGCTCAATTCTTTTTTGTTTTTTTTTTATAAGCGAGCTTTAAAAAATGTTTCCTGTAATTTTTTTATTCTATTTCTTGTAATTAGTTTAGCTTCTAAATCTTATTTAAAACAAAAATCGTTTAAGTCAGTCAATTGATGGTTTGGTATACATTTAAACTTTTTGCATTTTTGTCAAGTCATGTCGTGGACTTAAAAAAAACTATATTTAAGACCACAGTCCAAGTTTAACGATCAGAATTAAAGAGTTTCAGGGCGTCATTAAATTGTCTCATCCTCTTATATATATATATATATATATATATATATATATATATATAATAGTATTTTTAACAAATTCTAGAATGCTTGTTTATGTAATAAAACCGCAAACCACATTATACGGAATTTACCCAAACCATAAAGTACAAATATGAAACATTTTAATTTCAAACCAAAGGAAAGAAAAATTTACTGAATAAACAATAAAAATCTGAATTTAATCGCAAATTGCTTTTAGAAACTTTGCACGCAATTCTAAAATTATTCCTGCATGCAAGTAAAGAGATCGGATAGAGAAAAGATTCAAAGTTATTATTCAGATATGTTAATTGTTTTAATTTGTTAAACCAATTCAACAGGAATTGTTAATTTAATATTAAAGGGACAATTCCCAGTGTAAACGGTTCCCTTTAAACCTTTGTCTGATCAATTGACTTAAGGATTTTTTCTGCACAGAAAATGAAATAAATACTTCCCAATTGTTACTCAGATTCAACTCTCTAACATTCAACTCTAGAAACGAAATTACGTATAATTTCTTTATTTGAATTATCCCAAGACCCTATTATGATAATAATATTTGTATGTTAAGTGGTGGTAGAATAGAAAAAAGATTGATTTGAATCTGTATAAAGAACACATATATTTCTGATGTAAGTGTATATTACAATAAAATAGAATCTATGGTAGATGGAAGGTTAGCTTGATTGATTCCCTTAGTTCAGTTCGGGAGAAATAAGATGGAATCTTTCAAGAATTTAATTTAGATTTTTTACTTTTTAATCAATCAGTCTTTGAAGGTTTGACTATTTTGTTATCCTTAATAAACAACAAATAATTGTTAAAAAGATAATTAGCTGTATATTCTACCTTCTACCCTGAATTAAGATGCATAATCTACCTTCTACCCTGACTGTTAGCTGTATATTCTACCTTCTACCCTGACTGTTAGCTGTATATTCTACCTGTATACCCTGACTGTTAGCTGTATATTCTACCTTCTACCCTGATTGTTAGCTGTATATTCTACCTTCTACCCTGACTGTTAGCTGTATATTCTACCTTCTACCCTGACTGTTAGCTGTATATTCTACCTGTATACCCTGACTGTTAGCTCTACCTGACTGTTAGCTGTATATTCTACCTGTATACCCTGATTGTTAGCTGTATATTCTACCTTCTACCTGACTGTTAGCTGTATATTCTACCTTCTACCTGACTATTAGCTGTATATTCTACCTTCTACCCTGACTGTTAGCTGTATATTCTCCCTTCTACCTAACTGTTCTTCTTTAAGTTTTCCAATATTCTAGAATTTAGGTTTCATTAATATTCAACCTAATCCAATATGGGCCATTAGCAAGCTTAACTGTTTTTCTATTTCTTATTTTAGGAATTTCAATTTTGTTTTACAATCCTCAATTCAATTAATTGAAAAAGAGAGAAAAAGTCTACCTGAGTTTGAGAATTGATGTATCTTTTTTTCTAGCTTAATGTAATACATGAAATATAGTTTAAGAATAATAATGACAATATTTAGTGTCCAATAGCTGCAATATTTGCTAGAGTCGCAAAATTTACAAAGTGATGCAAAAGGAATTTAGTCTTTGGCACAAACTCTGATTTTTAAATCACTATATCTTTACAACCAAATATCGAAGGCCTTATTTATTTCAAGCTATCAATTCTATTAGATCAAATAATCTAAGTTTGAAAAATCAAAGGGGTATGCAAGGTATAATGTTGCTCAGATATAGCGATTAGCAATTTGGGTTTTTAGCAAAGACTCAACTCATTTGTAAATCTTTAAAATTTACAATATTTATAACATTAGCAATATTTAAAGTATTTACAATATTTACAGTATTAACAATGTAAACAATATTTACAACATTGACAATATTTACAATATTTCCTATATTTGCAATAAATACAATGAATACAAAATATTTGATATTCTAGGTTCGGCTGCAATGTAAAGCTGACGGTCACCCTAAGCCTGCAGTTTATTGGTCTAGACAGGTAAATATTATAATAGAATAAAATATAATTGAATAGAATAGAAAAGTATAAAAAAGAATATAATAGAATGGTACAGAATAAAATATAACTGCAGAGTAGAATATTAAAGAATAGAATAGAATAGAATAGAATAGAATAGAATTAAATAGAATAGAATAGAATAGAATAGAATAGAATAGAATAGAATAGAATTGCAGAGTAGAATATTAAAGAATAGAATAGAATAGAATAGAATAGAATAGAATAGAATAGAATAGAATAGAATAGAATAGAATAGAATAGAATAGAATTAAATAAAATAGAATAGAATATAATAGAATAGAACAGAATAAAACATAATAGGAAGTGAATAGAACAAAATTGAACATAATATATCAGAATCGAATAAAATAGAATAAAAAATAAGAAGATAACAGATTAGAACAGAATAGAACAGAATAGAACAGAATAGAATAGAATAGAACAGAATATAACAGAATAGAACAAAATAGAACAGAATAGAACAGAATAGAACAGAATAGAACAAAATAGAACAGAATAGAATAAAATAGAACAGAATAGAACAGAATAGAACAGAATATAACAGAATAGAATTGAATAGAATAGAATAGAATAGAATAGAATAGAATAGAATAGAATAGAACAGAATAGAACAGAATAGAACATAATAGAACAGAATAGAACAGAATAGAACAGAATAGAACAAAATAGATCAGAACAGAACAAAATAGAACAGAATAGAACAGAATTGAACAGAAAAGAACAGAATAGAACAGAATAGAACAGAATAGGAAGATAATAGAATGGAATAGAACAGAATAGATCAGAAACGAGCAGAATATAACAGGAGAGGAAGGTAATAGAACAGAATAGAATAGAATAGAAAAGATTAGAACATAGAATGTTTTAGTATAAAATAAAACAGAATGGAACAGAAAATAACACAATAGAATAGATTAGAATAGATTAGAACAGAACATAATCATCTATTTAAGTATATATTATATAAATTATACTACGATAACGTAGAAAAATAAAATGCACTGAAATGTGTGAAATAAAAGAATTAAGCGGAATTTCAAGTCACCCTCAACTTAAACGTTACATAACCGATTCACACCAATACCCATATATGGGTAAACAATGAGGAATATGCAGTCGTTTTTTGTCTTTATTTCCTTCCTTTTCTCTGAGCTGTATAAATCACTTGTATGGTGGACAGCTGCTCGCAAACTTAATTGATTGAAAAACAAAGATCAAAGCAAAAAATTTTAATGGTTCTGCTGTGAATCGGACACATTAAAATCTTTTAATAAAGGGTGGCTTGAAATTACATGAAAAGACCCTTTAAGTTCAAAAATCAAATCCTACTTCTTATATGTGATAAAATGGGAATTTTATCCCTTGTCTTTGAAATAAAACGGGATTAAATTTCCAACCTTGTTTTCAAGTACAGGAGGAGTAAGGTAATCCCTCCCTTGCAATTATTTGCAATGCTGAGGTCTACAGAATAAAACAAACTCAAAAAAACTCAAGCACATGTATATGTGAAGTACTTGCCACCTGACTTTTGTTGGCGGCACTCCCCTTAAGTTTCCAAAGCTTGTATAATCATATATTACATAAATTGGTATATTTATGTAAAGCGAAGATGAAGTATGTCCTGGGTATTTCTAAGGTATGAATATGAATATATGAATCTGACCTAAAGCCATTAAACGGCTGCTTCCCTGCTATAATGGCTTTCGATACATCATAAATCTTACAAAAGGAGAATAGGTGTTGAGGATACAGAGGATACAGGGCATACATGGATATAAAGGATACGGGGTTTCAAGGATACAGAGGGATGTGTATATAAACATATAGATACACACTCTTCCAAATATGTGTTATTAAAATGATATAATTTGTCTCGGATATGTATCTTTAATTAATGCAAAATGACAATTGTAAATTTAGTTGAAATTTTACAACTATAATAAACTGAGGTTATTCGAATCTAATTTATTAATTTTTCAATTAAATGTCGTCTTTCTTCATAGTACTTCCATTACTCATCTACTAAACGATGTAACGAATGCAAGAATGGGAAAATGTCAGAAACAAAATAAGATAGGAAAATGTTCGGAAATGTCATGATCAAATACCTATTCTTTTTGATTTCTCATTTTGATAAAGAAATGTTGAAAGTTTGATTTTTTTTACAACTTTATTAAAAGTAACTAAATGTATGAAGTCATTAATTATTTTGCCTGTTTTCTCGAGCTCCCTACTTGAAATATTTAATAGCTGCGTGACAGGGTATATTTAATCCCAAATTCTGCTAAAAGTATAATATAGCTCTCTGATGTTTTCATTAAGTAAAACGCGAAAAACAATTTGTCAAAGGGTATATTCTCTTTTATTGCAGTCAAGTTTGATAAAAAATAAGGCAAGGCAAGCTCTACCCACTAACAACGCCCCTTTTACTACCCCCCCCCTGCTGGGGCAGGTTCCACTTTCATTCCATCAAAGGATAAAGCTTATAGTGAAGAAAAGTGAAAACCTGGCAAATCAAATCTTTTCCGATGAAACCAACCCAATATGATTATATACTCCAATATACACTAAAAGACGCACAAACACAATTCAGATTATTGTTATTATCTTTTTAAGAACACACAAACCCACTTGACACTTTTATTTTGAGGTGTAATGAAGGTATTAAGGAGATGTATAAGGACTAAGGTGTAGAAGAATAAGAGCTCTTCATAAATCAAAAACTATATATTTGCACTGACTGTGTCAAATAACATTGATATGCAAATTAAGTAAAAAATGCATATCTAAGAGACTGTACTATGTATTTATGTCTTGGAAACATTCTAGGAAATTTTAAAAAAAACACCACTTAAACAAAAAAAGCATATATCAAAAAAGTTTCAAGGGCAACGTTGTAAAAAAATAAAACTCTCTTTAAGTGGAGGGTTTCTTGAATCTGCAGCTTTTTTCTAAAACTAAAAATGCTACGGACAAAAGACAAAAATTAAAACCGAACTTATTTAAAAGAAAAATTAAATTTAAACCTAAGGTTTTCTGTTTTCAGCTCGCTATACTATATTGGAAAGTGGAAAAATGTATTGGGAAATATTTAGTTACTGAATATTTAACTAAATATTGACAGTTTTTATTGGATAGAGAATAAGAAATTCCAACAAAAGACGGATCACGCTGGGTAGAAAAACATATGTAAACAAAAGAACTTTCCAGCCTCAGCTTCCACGCAATTGGGACTTGCAAATCCAGTATGAAACCATGATGAGTAATTTTTAGAATATATATATATTCATTTTTCTGTTTTTTGGTGGCGCAGAAACCTAGAAGATTTAAGTTTGTCTTTTCGGATTATTTCAGCTTAGTCTAAATATGAATATTTATCAAATCCAACATCAAATCTTTATGGATTAAAACTGAATAGACCGAATAAAGTTTTTTTTATTTCAAAGATACGAAAAACATAAATTTTATAGATAGAAATGGGTTCGATAATGAAGGATCACTGACTTATTAAAAGGGATCATCTGAATCTTACTTTTTTCAACATAATTAAAAAAGTTACATGCAAGATTCCCAGCTGTATCCTGATAATCAATATCTAAGCAAATTTTGGCCTTGATTTTATGAAAATTCTTGAATTTTATTGTTTCTCTATGAGGAGACATGCAGATTTTTGCAAATATAAAACTTTTTAGTCTACGCTTTCTTAAAAGGGGTTGAAACTACATGCAAATATAACAATGCCCGATTCACAACAGTAACCTTAATACCTGTTCAATAATGTGGAATATATGGTTGATTTTAATTGTTTAAAAGCGTTAAAATCTAATAATTTTAGTTTTTATTTAATAGAAATGCGCAAGAAAAACAACAATAGAAAAAATCAGTTTTCAAAATTATAAACTTCAAACTTATAAGGTGTGGAGATAAGTTTTCTAAGATTAATTTGTCAATATAAAAGGTAATAGTTTGTAAACCTTAAATAACATTGAAATTGTTTGCATAAGTGTATGCATATTTATCAACAAGTATGTCATATCCATTTTGTATATATTTCAGTTATGTAACGTTGAATGAGTGTAACTGTATGAGAAAGATTTATTCAATAAACGTCAAAAAAAACAATTACTCATTATACACGTACACCCCTACCCATACAAAACTTGTTGTATGGATTTTATTCAAAGTAACCACGAAAAACCTTACTTTCAACACAGGCATTTATATCTTTGCATGAAATTATGCTTGCAATCCCTGTAAAGGTTTCTAATCTCATCAAGTTTTGAAATAAATTGTGCGTCACAAGAAAATCCTTGAAAAGATGTTTTGTTGGAGTCTGGAAATCAAATTAAAGGATCCAAAAACTAAATAATAAAAACAAAACACACAACACCTGGACGCAGCCAGGATTCAATACAAACTCAGAAATATAAAAGGAGCAAAGTAAAACAAGAAAATACAATTTCCAAATTGAAAGATGGTTACAGTGTAACAATATACGGGTATTTTTAGACACAGCATTTTAAAATAGATAAGATATATTAATAAACCTATGCTGTTAACTATTTATGAATGAATAATTGAGTAGTGAGCTTCGTTATTAGAATCGATCTTATTGTTTTGATAGAAATATTTAAAATAACCGATGACAGATTAGTTTTTATGCTAAACACTCTGATTTTAATTCTCATTAAATATCATTTTGATAACATCTTATAAAGCTATGAACAGAAACGCTATGAATAGAATAGGCAGAATCGCTTAGCTTAGTTTAAAAAACTTAAGTTGAGTGGATTGGGTTTTTTAGAGAAAACTAAAAAATATCAAATTAAGTTTTATTGTGGAATTCAATAATCATAAATAATTTTAATGTCCACAATAAATTCCCACTTTATTCTAGAATTTGGACTGTCTTCCCAGAATTAATTCAAGCATTTTAAAACAAATATATTTTTATGTTAATTATTTTCTTTTTTAGCACAACCAAGCATTTCCTGGAGAGTCAAGGCAGCTACGAAGTCAAGGTAAAATTTATACAGATGAATATTTGTAAATGGACGTAAGTTTAACTTATTTAACACTCTTAGCTTGATTCAGGGTTCATGCTGATCGATATTTCTAATTTAAAACAATTCAATGAAGGCAATTAATCTTTGCCAAACACGAAAACTTTTTAATCCCTTTATCTTTGAAACCTGATATGACATTTCCAACATAGATTATTTGATCTTACAGATAGTTTGAAATATATACCTAAGGTAAGGTCTAGTTTGTGGCAAAGACTCAATTCATTTTACGCTAAATTGAAATCTTACATGTTTTCAATAGTTCTTTGTCTTTTAGAAGAATAACATCGTTTCAAATTCTGATAATCAACTGACCAGTGACTTTATACTAGAGAAGCTTCATGGTCACAAAGTCTTCCCAGTACTTTTACATAAATTGGACCTTTTTTTGTTTAAATTGAAATTGATTAATTAAATGAAAACATTGATTTATCCTTTTATTCCAATAAAAGATTTATAAACTAATTATCCGCTGAATTAATTATCTAATTAAGATTTTAGTTAAATAAAAAGGGAAGAAGAGTACGTTTAAGTTTCCTTGAATCATGTTGCAGTAAGTTTTGTAAACTTAACAACCGTTTCAAGTTTTGCATTTTTCACCTTGAAAAACAAACTTGAAATAAAAACTTTTAGAACAAATTTTGAAAAGTGCTTAAACGTTTATTATGCAGGATATGAATTTAAGAAAAACAAATATAGATTTAAAAAATCAACATAACAATATAATTGAAAGATGAATAGATATATTCTGCAAGATATATTTGATTATATTATACCATTAAATTTAAACCTCTGCATATATCTTTAACCTGTAAGCATGTATCATTAGGTTTGTTAAATTGAAAATTTAAACTATGCTTTTGGCCAGGTCAATCATGTTATTTAAATAAGTATGGTTGCAGAAGTACTATTATGCCCAGCTCTAGAACAAGGTTGAATAAGTACTATTATGCCAGCTCTAGAACCAGGATTAAATAAGTATTATTATGCCCAGCTCTAGAACTAGGTTGAATAAGTACTATTATGCCCAGCTCTAGAACCAGGATAAAAAACTACTATTATGCCCAGCTCTAGAACCAGGTTGAATAAGTACTATTATGCCCAGCTCTAGAACCAGGATAAAAAACTGCTATTATGCCTAGCTCTAGAACCAGGATAAATAACTACTATTAGAACCAGGTTGAAAAACTACTATTATTCCCAGCTCTAGAACCAGGTTGAAAACTACTATTATGCCCAGCTATAGAACCAGGTTGAAAAAGTACAAATATGCCCAGCTCTAGAACCAGGTTGAATAAGTACAAATATGCCCAGCTCTAGAACCAGGTTGAATAAGTACTAATATGTCTAGCTCTAGAACCAGAAGAAAAACTACTATTATGCCCAGCTCTAGAACCAGGTTGAAAACTACTATTATGCCCAGCTCTAGAACCAGGTTGAATAAGTAATATTATGCCCAGCTCTAGAACCAGGCTGAATAAGTACGATTAGGCCCATCTTTAGAACCAGGATGAAATAAGTATTAATATGACTAGCTCTTGAACCAGGTTGAATAAGTACTATTATGCCCAGCTCTAGAACCAGGATGAAAACTACTATTATGCCCAGCTTTAGAACCAGGTTGAATAAGTACTATTATGCCCAGCTCTAGAACCAGGATAAAAACTACTATTATGCCCAGCTCAAGAACCAGGTTGAATAATTACTATTACGCCCAGCTCTAGAACCAGGATAAAAAATTACTATTATGCCCAGCTCTAGAACCAGGATAAAAAACTTCTATTATGCCCAGCTCTAGAACCAGGATGCCTGCACAACAAGCTGTCCTCTAAATTATAGTGCAATCAAATGTCTTCCTTCTAATATATTTAGAGAAATGTTTAGTTTTCACAATATTGCTTTTCTCCTCTGCACTAGGTTTTCTATTGTACCAATATTATATATTTTATAATTCCTTTAAAGGGACTGTAAACGTAAATTCAAGTGACCCTACATGCAAAGATGGCAATACCCGATTTACAACGGTACTCTTGAAAGCTTTGTCTGATCAAGTATGAAATAGATATCAATGTTTCGTTTTCTTTAAACTGTTTATTTCATTTCATGTTGCTCTGCAAAAGTGAATTGCGCATTTATTACTTTATAATAAGCAATGGAGAAACTCACTTAAAGGGACTGTTAAGGTAATATGAAAGGGGGTATATGCTAAAGCCTAAAATTTTAGAAATTGATCGCGACCATTATTAATTCTATCTGATGTCGAGAAATTGATATAAAACTGTGTCAAAATTGTACTAAAACAAATTTGAAAATTAGTATAACCCAGAGGTGATTAAAAATTTTAGGTATTCTGTGGCACTGGCAGTGCAGTATCTGGTCACTTGGCTCCGTTCGTATCACGTGACCAGAATTTCCATCAATGGCCTTGCATTATCTGGTCACGTGGCTCCGTCGGCCATATTTTGTATAACTTTGACAAAAATTGCAACAGTTTTGTTTCCTGTCTAAGTTTAAAAAGAGTAATTGGCAAAATACTGCTAGATTTTTGTATAGAACATGCACATCTTGGTTTGCAGTGACAATTGTAAATCACACATTTCTATCGTTGCATGGAGGGTCACTTGAAATTACGCTTACAGTCCCTTTAAGAAAGTGTTTGCGACAGTACACTGAAGGTTAGGATGAATTTTTTTTTAACTCTTAATCGCTTAATACTATTTTTATATTTGACTGAGGTTTATGTAACGTGTTTAACTTCTTGTAAGTTCACAACAAAAAATTTCAATCTCAGTCAGTTATTTGTGTATATTCACTTCTATCTAAACATAAAGAAAATACCGAATTAATGATAAGTTACTGGTTTGACTTTATGACCTCGTAGGTCTTGATTTTGATTTTAAGCAAGGGAAACCCAAATTTAATGTGAAAATATAAAATTTGTTTTTCTTCATCGTGTATGGAGTATTTCAACCTCTTTAAAAAACACATCGGGAAGCAGGTACTGAGATTTTGTTTATAAAATAAGCATTGTAGTTCCGAGACTAATTTTCTAACAGTAGATTAAGGGGTGTGTCCCTGAAGCGTGATAAGGAAAACATGATTGACATGATAGTAATTGCTGTACATGCTCCATTCAAACCACACAAAGGAAAATATAAAAACTAAATTACAAGATTAAAGATAACATCATTTGAGCAATATAAACTATTTTTAAAATAATCAAAATGGTTGATATAAAAAGTTTAAATGTTCTGTGTTATTGTCATAAAATGTTTGTAAGAAATTCTATCCCCAGCTCTCTTTAAATCCTTTAATGTCTTCCAGAAATATAAATGGTGGAAAAAGTTGCTTTAACATTCATACAACACAGTGTACATTTTATAGTTCAGTAAGCAAAATATTTCAAATGATTGAGTGTTTAAAAAATATTATGGTACAGGGGTTCAAAATATTGTGTATATGCTACTTACTGGGTTTTATAACGTTTATGTTCGAGATTTATTTTATTTGGCAATCATATTGTGACCTTGCACCTCTTCTAGTTTTTTCTAATTTGACGCCGGCCCAAAAGGCAGCCGTAGTACATTTGAATTTCCGAGCCGGGTCAACCTTTCCGGTTCCAGTTTGTACTGTATCGCCCGGACATTGGGATAATAAAGCAGACACTCAGTAGGACTAGCCGGTGCAACAAGGTTGACGGGGTCAGACATTAAGTTGAATTTACTTTTACGTAAGGGTCAGAGGTGCGTGGCCCAAGTATAAGAAAAGAAATTTTTTTTGATTGCATTAGATATTCAAAACCTTTTTGTTTTTTCTCTTTTAAATGAGTAGTTATAATCTTGTAAACATGTAAGATTTTAATCTAACTTTGAATTTACTTTAATTTGACATGAAGTTCAATGTATGGTACTATTTCATAAATTATGTTTTATAATTCAATGTAAGGTTTTTTTATGTTTTAATGGTGCCCTTCTAAAAATATTTTTAACTGTGTAGGCTTGTGAGAAATAAAAGCACTGCTAAGAAATACAATATCATATTTTTGATTGGTGGATTTGTTATGGTGCATTTCTTCAAGACAAGCTCTTAACTATAGAATAATTTGATAAAGGAATTGAGTCTTCACACAAACTCAAATTTTCTAATCCCTTAATCTTTGCAACCTGATGGTGTAAACCCGTGCTATATCAAACTTAGTTTATTCAATCCAACAGAATTCATAGTTTGAAATATTTAAGGTTTGACACCGGGTTGCAAAGATACAAGAATTTGAAAATCATAGTTTTACTGTCAATTTTATTTCAGGTGGCACTTCCCCTTCATAACGTTTCACTTAGGATTCTCATAAACGATCTGAGTACGATCTAACACTTTATAATTGCTAATTGTGGTTTCCTAATAATAGTAAATCAGACATAAGCAAATCTTTTACGGGGAGGGGGGGGGGGGGAGGGGTAATTGAAATTACGCTGAAGAACTTGCGTGCTTGTTTTGTCATACTATATTTGAATGAAATGAATTATCTTTAAATTCATATTATATCTGTAATACAAGAATTTATAAAAATGTATCTTTTCTATCGAATATTGTAAATTAATAAAAAGTTAATCTAAAATATTATAAAATTATGTTTTATGAAGGTATTTATGAAGGTGTTTTATGAAGGTGTTTTCTCACATTTATATCATAGTAATTTAATTCAGTTATTTCACGATTAATCAAAAATAAAACTAAATCCTCCATTTTGTTTAGGAGACACAGTAATACTAGAGGGAGTGAAACGGGATTTTGCTGGGGAGTACTTTTGTAATGCAGATAATGGAGTAGGTTCATCACCAACTGTGGAATCTATTCAGCTAGATGTACTCTGTAAGTAATAAGTATAGTTATAAATAACTTAATCTTTTTGCGAACTTTTAAAATAAGAGAGAAAAAACTTGTGGAGGACATTTTTTTTATCCCGATCTGACTCAACCCAACCCTGGCCTCACACAAACACTGATGACTTCTAATATACTTTTATCTTTGCAATCCAATTATGCAGACTTTAGATACTTCAAACTTTGAATAAAATAACTTATTTAATATAAGTTTGAAATATCAAAGGTTTGTACCAAAGGGTTGCAAAGATTAAATATTCGAGTATTCGAGAAAAGTCTTAATTCTTTTTGGCGTTTCTACGTTTTATGGTTTGAAATATCAGAAGTCTAATGATTGGGTTGCAAAGATAAAGGGGCCAAACTAAACATTCAAATTTTCATAACAGACTATTGGAATTGTAAAATATATATTACTGTTTCTGAGAATCAAATCAAGCTAAAGCTTTAAGCAAAATGTCATTGATGAAAGTATGTTTCATATTTTTACCAAGAAAAATTATTTTAAATTACAATTTTTAATATTCTGACATCAAAAAAATATTTTATCTAATCAATCAAAAAACAAGTAAAATATATAAATCGATTCATTTTCTTTATTTTGTGAGGGGCAAAAGAATGTGTAAAATCAAAATATTAACATACAGAGAAATCCCTGAAAATACCGTCACACACAAGCAGACTGATAAATTCTTGCACTTTTATACTTTCATAAATAAACATTTCTGAAGAACGTTGTGTACTTTAAATTTCGGTCACTTCAATCTGGGAGGGGGGATAGGGATTATCATTTTTTTGACCTCCTTTAACATTTTAAAATTCTTTTTTATTATCTCTTTTAAACACAAACGCATCATTATTATCCATATTTAACTCAATATGATACCATTTTTTAATTTGATACTGTCTTGAATTCAATTTTACACTGCCTGAAATTCTATTATTTTTTCTTGAAGAATTGGCTGCAGTATTAAAGAAAATACCTTATATTTTAAAGCAAGAGTCCGAATTTAATGAATTTAAGCCGAGTCTCAAATCCCCTAAAAACTGGTTTCAATTGTGCGCTGCAGCTTAAATCTTGAAAAATATAATACAACTTTAAGTGAAACCAACCATATTTGAGCCGCGGCTTAAATTTAAGCCACGGCTCAAATTTTTTAAATTTGGCCTCAGTTTGATTTAGTTAAAGTCTAGATCCTGGTTTAATTATAGAATGTCCCAAAACTCAAGACTAAAATGTTTTAAACTTGTTTTTTGTATGTTTAATATAAAGAAGATCATATTATTAATGAACCATCAGAAAGATACTTGCATATTTTCTGATAACTAAAAATGCATTTTTTAATGAACAGATTCTTTGAGATTAAATTGCATACAAAATAATTGATACTAAAAAGAAAAAGGTTTAATATTATTTAGACCCTTGTTACTTTTTTCAAGGAGGGATTTTAACGAAAAAATATGATTCTACCAACTTTTTCAAAATAAAAAAATGTGTAAAATATATCCATCCTTGGTTTATCTTTCCGGTAGCGTCTAATCCAATCAGAGCATACTTACGTTCTTTGTGAGTAATTAGAACCAATCAAGGATGTAAGGCAAGGAAAGTTATTTCAGAAGTGTACACATCTTTTGTACTGCAGTGTACTCTCTCTAGGCGGTAATGTAAACACAAGACGGATGTCAAAGCCTGACATGGGATCCATCTTTCACATAAAAAATCAATGAAATATTCTGGTAATAGGAAACTATTATGTGAATTATCAAAATTATTAAAATTTAATGCTTTTAAACTCTTCGGATACTAAACGAACATTGATGCGTCTATTCTTATTTACAAATTCCGCCCAAAGAGAACTGGTTTCAATATGTACGCAGAGTATACACGACCGCAATTAACTTTCCTTGCATTACACCCTTGGAACCAATAGAGATTGCAACGGCAGCAGGATCTATTTATCTATGTATCTATACATTCAAATCTTATAAACCAATTAAAGATCCACAGGTAAATTAGCAGCAAAGACTAAACGTAATGTTTAACTTACATTTAAACAAGTATGCACCAGAGACTTTCCGTTATAATTTTCAATCCTGTCTCTTGATTAAAAAATAGGTAATTATAAGGATGTAGTTTTTAATTCTAGTGGCGTGGCAAGTTGGCAACTAAACAAATGTAATTCTTAAAACCTTTCTAAAGGTTGCGTGATCAATTTCACTCAATGCACTTTGCAAGGAATTAGTAATTAATTGCAAACATTTTTTTCATTCAAAAGTTGTAAAGAAACAGTTTCAATTTTTAACATAAGTTTGTGTATTCTTGTAATCACTTTATTTTTCCTTTGATTGTATTGTATTGAACTAGGAAACAAAGCCTAAAATATAGTTAAATCAGGGCTATAAAATATGGTTATTAAGATTATTTGGGGGGGGGGGGGAATGTTGATTAACGCTTTACACCAAAAACTCTTTACAACTTCTTTGTACTCAGTTTCTTGAAGATAAATAAGCAAACCTTTCAAGAGGGTGCTATGAGAAATTTCTGAAAGAGAAACTGTGGAATTGAAAATTCATTCCTAAAATACAAGCTGCGCCAAATACATTATTCTATAGGTCAAAACTCCTGAGTTACAAGAAAAATTAAGTAGTTCATTTTCTTGTATTCTTAGCTAGGTCAGGCTTTCTGAAGCGCCACTGACTGATCAGAAGCAGAGCGCTACGGCTAGAATTTGTTAGATTGGGCTGAGCACAGAGGGAATACATGTCTCCATCAATTCAGGAGTTTGTCTTTCTGTCTTGTAAGATGGAGTGAATTACTAATAAACAGACTTAATCTGTTGAAATAGTTGTGGACATTTAAAAATTGTAAAATTTCAATCCCTGAATAAAAATACAATGGCATAAAGTGCAACAATTGGCATCTGATGTTATCATAAAACATTCTGTAAAGAAATGCATGTAGCAGCCGGGCCGGTATTATTATGGTCCGTCTAGTTAAGTGCTTAAGATTTGTTTAATTTTAGTCTTTGGTTTAGATCCTCCTGAAGTATCTGTTGAGAAGGTTTATCATCATGTTCCTCTCGGGGAATCCGTTACTCTAATCTGCTTTGTATTTGCTAATCCACAACCAAAGGTGAAAATCAATCAATTCAGTTAAATCAATACAAAATCAACCAATTCAGTTAAATCAATACAAAATCAATCAATTCAGTTAAATCAATACAAAATCAATGTATTCAGTTAAATCAATACAAAATCAATCAATTCAGTTAAAAAAATACAAAATCAATTAATTCAGTTAAATTAATATAAATCTATCAATTCAGTTAAATCAATACAAAATCAATTAATTCAGTTAAATTGATACAAAATCAATCAATTCAGTTAAATCAATACAAAATCAATGAATTAGGCAATTTATCAAATAAGTAATTATATCACTCAACAGTCAGCAGAACTAAAGATACTTAATCTTATAATATAATATATAAAATAAATCTTGTTAAAATCAATTAAAATCTATTAGTTAATGCGATCAATCAAATAAGTAATCAAATCATTCAACTAGATCAAACAAGATTTTCTTGTGTATTTAGTTAAAATTAATCAATAAACTAATCAATCAGTAAATCAATGAACTTTTTAAAAAAGGTTAAGCTCTTAACAAAATATCATTAATTATTCAAAAACATAACTATTAAGAAAAATTTAAATTCTGGAATTGTGTTTTTTAAAATTTATTTTAGTCAATTATTCATCTGTAGGACTAATTTTAAAATCAAAATATCTTTCCTGCACTTATAAAACATTTTTTTTTCAATAAAGCTTACAGTGGAGACGTAATTTCAAGCTACCCTCAATTTATGAATTGTAAATTCAGAATCATATTAAAACTTACTTGAATCATTGTCGACGGAGATATCTGTTTTTTTTTCAGCTCAAAAAAGTGTCCAGAGAACTCGAGTACACTGTACACTCCGTGCAAATTCAAAATTATAAAATTCCCAAATACTATCAATTTTAAACTATACAACAGCGGATCTCAGATTTTAAGGAAACTCTATAAATGGACGGTTATTTTATATTACGCCTAAGATCTCTTTAAGCAACTGAATCTATTTATTTGTACAGTTATGTATTACTGTTCAAAGAAAATGATTCCAATTTCTAAGCAAAAAAGGGGATATATAAAGATTCAAGCTAATACCATGGACCTATAACATCTTTTTATAAATTTTCTTATGCAATGCAGAACCATAATTATTTTCGTTTTTTTAAAGTTCTTGATACTAATCATCAAAGGATAATTTTATTTCTTAATCAAAGTTAATGCAAAAATATATTCCACAAGGCATTAACAAAAAAAACTATTTTCTTTCAAATAAACTTTGTTACTTAGAACATTTGTTTATCTAACAAAGTAATTGGAAAACTTTTTACTAAGTTTTTAAATCTGTAAAAATTCAGATTTAAATAGAACACAAGGCTGGTATAAGAATTTTATATAACTATAGTATATTTTAAAAAGCTGGTATTTTAGCATCGGCTATTAACAAGACAAAGATTTGAAATCAACTAAATATATATCTTTCTAGATATAACAAAAGCACAACCAGTCTAAAAATAACATGGTTTATATCAAATGAATAAATATCAGCTGCCATCTTGAGGGAACTCTACAGTAGACATTAAGGCGGAGAGTAAGACCACTTGTCCACCACAGTATAAGAATTCTATAAAACTATAAATTATTTATATACGCTGGTATAAGAATTCTATAGAACAATAATATATTTAGATAAGCTTGTTTAAGAATTCTATAAAACTATAATATATATATAGATAAGCTGGTATAAGAATACTATAAAACAAATATATTTAGATAAGCTGGTATAATAATTCTATAAAACAATAATATATTTAGATAAAATGGTATAAGAATACTGTAAAACAATATATTTAGATGCTGGTATAAGAATTCTATAAGACTATAATATATTTAGATAAGCTGGTATAAGAACACAATAAAACTATAATATATTTAGATACTCTGGTATAAGAATACCATAAAAAAACAATATATTTAGATAAGCTTGTATTAGAATTTTATAAAACTATAATATATTTAGATAAGCTGGTATAAGAATACTGTAAAAATATAATGTATTTAGATAAACTGGTATAAAAATACTGTAAAACAATAATATATTTAGATAAGCTGGTAGAATAACTGTAAAACTGTAATATATTTAGATAAGCTGGTACAAGAATACTATAAAACTATAATATATTTAGATAAGCTGGTATAATAATTCTATAAAACAATAATATATTTAGATAGGCTGGTATAAAAATACTATAAAACTATAATATATTTAGATAAGCTGGAATAAGAATACTGTAAAACTATAATATATTTAGATAAACTGGTATAAGAATACTATGAAAATACTGGATGGAGAAAGAATAGTTTCAAATAATGTTGGAAACTCCTACAAACTGAGCATAGACAAACTAAATATACAGGTAAAAAAAGTATTTAAAAAATAAAATTACCTTTTCTTAAAAATTTACAATTTGTTCTTGAGTGAATATTTACAGGTAACAAACCAACTTTTAAATATTTCAAACTTAAAAAATAATAGAAATATAATTCTATGTAGTTTAAATTTTTTTATCAGAAACCCTTATTTTATTTTCATGAAAATTACTTTCCATTTGTTTCTAAATAAAGAGATTGAGAGTTCCTGTTTATTTTCAATGGTCTCTGAAATCATATTTTTCGTAAGTTTGTCTTCCAAAACTAAGGCTAGTATATATATAAATAGATAAAATTAAAATATGTGTGTGTAAACTAAAGAATAAGATTAATATTAGTGGAATCTGAATAGTAAAGAATCAACCTATTTCAAGGAATTCAAGAAACCTGTTCATGCGTATTCAAGATATCAAATATATTCACAACTAAATAATTAAATAATTCAGGGCTGCAGCTCTCCTCTTATATGGAATTCATCTTTCAAATTTTTCTAGAGGGGATTCATATTAATTCAAATATTTAGGCATTTTTTTATTATTAAATACCTCGGAATTTATTGATAAAGACATTTAATAGATTATAAAATCATAGGTTTGACTTTATATGTAGAAAATTTCAGACAGAACATTTCATAGACTATTTATGGAAATGACCATTCTAGAAAAATTTGTTTAGTCTAAAAAATGTTAATGAGAATGTAGACGCTCTAACACAGAATGGAGTTCAATTCATTTTTAAAGATTTTTTTATGAATTCATCGCATAGTCTATTTTTATATTGTTTATAATTAAAGGCCATGTTCCTATTCAAAGTGGCAAAAAAAACCGCAACATTAACAACTGGCTTTTCTTGGATATTTGAATCATTTATCGTGGGTTTTTTTGTCCGCCAAATTGATCTGAAATGAAGGTAGTTCAACCCCTTCTCTTGTTCATATCTCTTGTCTCTAAATAAGAATTTGACTAGAGTTTAAAGCTTTCTGGTCCTTAAGATCAAGAAAGTATTTTCAAAAAATTCTAAATTTAAGTGTTTTTCTAAACCCTGAACAATCCTTTTGAAAGGAGGTTTCAAATTATACCTTAGCTAGGTTCTTCAGAAAAAAAGGATGCAGAACACTTGTTATTTTACCACTATCAATCTTTTGTCAAGTTTCCGTGTAAGTTAAAATATTAAATATTATTTTTAGAGTTCCAAACTGCACAGAAATAAATTTGATCAAATCAATCTTTCCTTGAAAGGAATTTAGTATTTGCTACACATGCTAATTTTTTAATCTCTAAGTCTTTGCCGGAGGGCTTAGATATTTCAAACTATAAATTATACTACATCAATTAAGCTAAGTTTACTTATCTAAGGTTTACACCGCCATCTCTTGCAAATAATTGATTTGTAAATCTGTTGGATTTGAATTAAAACTTAAAACAATTTTAAAGTTCCCATTTTACAGAACTCATACATTAAAAAAAACAGTGTATATGTTTAAGGATTTTATAGCAATCAAATTACTTAAATAATAAATTAATGTAATGAGAAAAAAATTAATGTCGCCCATTTTTGCATTATTTTGAATGTTTTTGTGAAACTGTTTATTTGAATATTTCTTTTTGTGTGATTTTAAATCAATCTTAATTTGATAATTTCCGAAAAAAAAGCTGAACACTTTTTTAACTTATCATCATTTTCTACACTTTTGGGGCGTAAAAATTGTCTCTTATACATACAGTCCTAAGCTAGGTTTTAGTTATAACACTCTCTGGCGGCTAAACCCCACAAATCCTTCGGCCAGAGTACTATAGATTACTGCAGTACACACCTAAAGCTTAATTTAGGGTGCCATTATTATAATGATAGATTTGTCCAGCCTCTCTGAATTCATGTTTCTTTTTTCAATAAATCAATCATCATTAGTCACTCAATCAATAAATAAATTTAATTAATTAGTATATAAATATTTACAGGACTATGGTGAGTATAGCTGTAGAGCTGAAAACAGTTTGCAGAAAGATGTAACACAAACATTACAAGTCTCAGGTAAACAAAGATGTAGCACAAACATTACAAGTCTCATAAGCATAAATAAAAATCAGCTACACGATCAGGTTGAAAGGGTACCTTTGTGAATTAAACTTGCAATTACACAAATACAATGTTACTTGATTGATTGATTGATTGATAAATTGCTTGATTGGCAGGTTGTCCAGCCCCTCCAACTATCATCAGTGATGAGTACAGCAACCAGAAGTACAGCTACGAACTTCTATGGACTGTACAGTCATATTATCCAATTGTACAGCAAGAGGCAGTGCTATTGTACAATCATCAGGTGAATAAATTTAAGGAAAATAAGAACATTTAAAAAATAATTTAATTTTCAAATTGCGGGATTTTCTGTGAATATTTCAAATCAAATCTGAGTTAGGTAATTTCTGTTTGTGAACTTTTCTCTTTTTTGCATTTTTGTTGTTTTGAGATTTTAATAATAAAACATAAAATACAGGGTGTCCCAATAAACATGGGAATTTAGTTAGGAATTTGATATCATCTTTTTAATAATTCTTTGATTTAATATAGTGATACCTACTGAGAAATTTGTAAGATGTTTTTCTGCTATGTTTACAATTTGTTTTGACTGCAAATGGTTGTACTTAGTAAAACAAGGAAATTACAGTATACAAACAGAGTAAACTTGTCCGTTTTCACTGTTCAGTGTTCAGTGTTTGTCTTGCAAAGACATTTGACACATCTTCACAGCAATTTATCGTTTTCATAAAATAAACTCTAGCAGTCATAATAATATTATATAATATTTTGAAATTAGTTATTACAATGCTAATTCATATCAAAGACGATATCAAATTTGTCACTAAATTTCCATGTTTATTGGGACACCCTGTAGAATAAAATAAACTTAATTATTTTGTATATACTCAATGCAAGCAGTTATGCATTTAAAAGGGGTTCGGATAGTTAGGAAAAGAGTGGGATGGTGCAAAGGATGAAATATTTAAGATAAGATTTAAGATTCTCCAGGATCCTCTCGAAAATTTAGGATCATCCATGATCCACTCAAAAAATCCTCTTAAAAAAAGGATAAATCATGATCATCATAAAAACTGAATACTCATGGAGACGGAACTGACAACTCAAGCAATTTGTATAATAGTGTTAACGGATAACAGCAAACACACCAGACAAATTGAACAATAGGCCCGTCGGAACGCTGGTGGGGGAGATATATTTTCCCCCAACAAATCTTTCCAGGTTGCGGCCACAAACACACAACAGAATAAACCACGTCTCAAGAAAATCGATAACAATTAAGCTTTACTTCATGAAAATAACATAAATTATAAATTGGTTACTTTTACAAATTTTATAATGAATGTTTATTATGAAAAAAATCTCATGATTTATTAGTGAATGATAAAGGGTTAACTGCACTGTTGAATAGTACTAAAAGACGTTTTAAGCTTCTGAAATAAATGACAGTTGATTATTACGAAAGTCACTAAGTTCACTAATGAAAATTTTCTTTGTTTAACTTTTGAAAATGGATGGATTCACAATGCTTTAGGTTATTTACACTCCGATAGGGAGACAAAGGAACGGGAGGCTAAAATTATTTGGTTTGGATTTTAGTGTCTTCGAGAGGGGGGTTTTAGTTAAAGACGACTTTACACTGATCATGGTTAATGGTTGACAAATAGACAATAATGGATGGTTTAATAATGCATTAAACATTGTATAATTCTAAGAATAAGCTGAAGGCTTTAATCAAAGAACTCTTCTCTGTAAACATATTTTGAAAATGTTTTAAAAATTCAAATTCTTAATCCTTTGAAAATGTAGACTGTAATTTTCCGGAATAATTAGTAAAATATCTAAAATCTGGTGTGAGATGAGTTTAGAATAACATGTTAGACATTTAAAAAACAGTATTTTAAAGGGTTTTTTGTAATTTTTATTTTTTATGCATTTAGGCCAATAAAAAGTGTATACCTATATGCTAAGGCATTTTTCTAGGCATAGATTCAAACCCCTGCCTGTAAAGGGTTAAAAGTCGTATTTTCAAATTAGATGTGTTGTTTTTTACTAAGCTTTATAGGAAATAAGTAGCTGATTGTATAAAAACTTTCTGCACTCTGAAAAAAGTAGTGAAACATATATGATCATATCTTGCAACTCAATAGCTGAGAAGAAAAATTGAATATATCATATGAATTATGAATAAATTTAAAACTTTTGTGATTTAAAAAGTCCTTTTTTATTCTAATATTTTATTTCTGAAACCCCTTGAATCATAAAAATGTTACCAAAATATTCAAAGATATTCTAGAATTCTTCAAACTTATGATTTGAGCCCTGTTCATTCGATAAAAATGTTTGAATCAAAAAGTTGAGTTGATACTTTAAACTACAGGGTGTTTTTTTATTTTGTCAATTTCGTGTCTTCTCTAATAAAAGGAAAAAAAGATATATATTCTTATGATAACATTTATTAAAAACATATTATGGGAGGTTTTGCTTACACAAAAATTAGATGATATTTTTCAAACCATGCTCAAAATCTTTTCCCTCATTCTCCAAACAAAGAATTGCTCTTTTCCTGAATTTTTCGCCGGCCAAACGTTGGCTTACTGAGGGGCAGACCAAAAATAGTGCTACTATCTTTTAAAAATTGAAATAGAGAGGGTTCCCTGAGATCAGTCGAAAAATGATGGCACAGTACTCAACCCCTATTGCCTCCCCCTCTAGCTCATAATGTTATACACTTAAACCCAATGACTAAGAGATCACTACGTTTTCGGCCTGGTTTTTTGGAAGCTGTCTCCTCATTTCCAAAGCCATTGAGCTAAAATTTGCAGGGTACCCGATTTTTTTGCAGATTTTTTAAATTCAGTTGCCTCCCACAATAAGCTTTCCATACCTTTTTTCAAAACGGAAATATCATAAAAAGTGAAAAAGTTATTAAAGTTTAAAAATGACAAGATAAAAAAGAATTCTATTCGATTAAATAATGTAATTATGTCAATGGTTTACTCCATCAGGTTGAAAAGAAGAATAAAATGAACATTAGCCTCACCTTTCTAATAATAATGCTACACAACAAAATGTCTTGATAAAGAAAAACATTGTACACCACCTCTTACAGTCCAGACCCTGCCAATTATGGGTTAGTTCAAAGAAAACAAAAAACTTTTGTATTTGTCTTAACTTTTTCCTTAGTTCATTAATTATGGTTTGGATTGTTAGCAAGAAACTTATTGTATAAGAAAATATAACTGTTTACTGAAAAGTAAAAAGTTTGTGTTTAAAGGGTTTCCTGCGCAAATCCTACTTTGCTTGTGATTCTGGTCCTTTAAACAAAATAATACATAATATCATATTTACGCACAATAAATTATGTGTTTTCAGATCTGTGAAATTTTTTTATATTTGTTTTTATTGAATTAATATTTTGTTTAGTTTAATGAGAGTGGATCAGGAGAGGAGGAGGTTAAAAGAATAAAGTTAAGGTAGGTTTCTAAATCATTTTCAATTTTAAAAAAGAATTTGTATTTATTTTTGCAATTATTATTTCAAATCGGCATCATGTTGAGTGATTTGTGCATTTTTTTTTCTTGTAAATTTAAAAAATGTTTTCTTATTTAAATAAAGCATTGAGAAAGCTATTGAGAAAAGATATTCTCGACTTGTGCAAAAATAAAGACAAGTGGAAAATTTGCAGAGAAATATTATTTCAGGGGAAAACTGATATTGTTTATATAAAACAAATGTTCACTAATATTCAAATATAAAGATAAATAATAAGGTTTTAAACTTTGCTTGCATTCAGTTTTAAAGTTTAAATTAATTTATTAAAGTTGTATCCGTTGACGAGTAAAATTAATATTAAATAATTAAATAAAATAAAATAAAATTAATATTTTAAAGATTAAATTTGTCAAAATCATGTTTATACAGTGATAACCATGCAGACTTTTAGAATCCAGTAATAACTTAAAAAGTACAATGAGCATAAGATCACAATAGTTGTGCAGTTTAAACAGACCCATATCATTATAAAGTATTTATTTAATAAGTGTCTAATAAAATAATTTGCTATGTAACAGCGTTAATACACATAAGTACTGCTATAATGTTTTCTTTATAAACCAATATCAGAGTAATTAAATTAAAGTTATCAATAAATTTCGCATTTATTTAAAACATCAATCAGTAATCACTTCATAATTTAATCAATTGATCATTTGATCAGTTAGTCAGTTAATCATTTGATCAATTATCAATTAATTTAGAAAATCAAAACTTGAAAAATTGATTGATTAATTAATTGATTAGTTGATTGTTTTATTAAATGATTAATCAATTAATCAATTAATCAATTAATCAATAAATCAATTAATCAATTAATCAATTAATCAATTAATCAATTAATGAATTAATCAATTAATCAATTAATCAATTAATCAATTAATCAATAAATCAATTAATCAATTAATTATTTAATAAATTAACCAACTAATCATTTAATTAATTATTTAATTAATTAAGTCATTTTTAAATCAATTATCAATTAATTACTGCGTACTCAATCAAAAGATGACCAGCTTGTATTTCAGTGGGGGAGATCCACCCTTTAGCTACAACTTCAAGGGACTCAAGAATAATGGAACATTCAGGAAAACTTAACAAAATAATTTAAATTTTCTATTTTTACGACAAAAATTTAAAAGATTGTGATTTAAAATTAGTTTTCACTGGTGGAAGTGCTCATCAATATTTAATACATTTGTGTTAATTAATGATAACAATGAAAATTTATTTTGAAAAACAAAAGTAAATGCGTAATTCCGGATATATTTGTTTTCAATCATAACTCCTGTATATTGAAGTGATATTGAATTTCTAACATGTAACTGGATAAATTTATCTCTTTATGTAAAAAAGGGGAAATTACAAGGTCACAAAGTCTAACCAGTACTTTTGCATAAATTTCTCCTTCTGTCTAGTTCAGTGTGATATCAGGGTTTGCATGTTTTAAATAAATAAATGCAGCAAAAAAAGCAATAAAAAAGGCAAAATGTCTTCTATTTGATGTAATATTAGCAAAAAAAGCAATAAAAGAGGCAAAATGTCTTCTATTTGATGTAATATTAGCAAAAAAAAAGCAATTAAAGAGGCAAAATGTCTTCTATTTGTTGTAATATTAGCAAAAAAGCAATAAAAGAGTCAAAATATCTTCTATTTGATGTAATATTAGCGAAAAATCAATAAAAGAGGCAAAATGTCTTCTATTTGATGTAATGTTATCAAAAAAAAGCAATAAAAGAGGCAAAATGTCTTCTATTTGATGTAATAATAGGGAAAAAAGCAATAAAAGAGGCAAAATGTCTTCTATTTGATGTAATATTAGGGAAAAAAGCAATAAAAGAGACGAAATGTCTTCTCTTTGATGTAATATTAGGAAAAAAAAATCAAAAGAGGCAAAATGTCTTCTATTTGATGTAATATTAGCAAAAATTCAAATTTTAATACAAATCATTTTGTTTGTGTAGAGTACGAGTGAAGAGTAAGAATGAGTTTGGTTGGGGACCCTACTCTTCTGTATTTACATTTTATATGTTCCCGAGAGGTAAATATATTAACGGTATTTTATTTGGCCCTGTCGTTGTGAACCGTTAACCGTTCACAGCTATAATTTCATTTAAACCTGTGCACTTAGATTCAGACTACTATAAAAAGTTTCATTAAATTTCAACACTGCAGGGACGATTTAAAGTGGCGTAACGCCAGCAAGGTCTTTGATTTAAATCACAAAAACTCACTTTTCCTGTAGAGTAATACTAATTTGAACATTTAATAAATAAAACAATCAAGTAAATCCTCATCAATTTTTATGTGATAGCTTTCAACCTTTTGATCACTTTTCTGCGCTGAGCCGAGAAATAAAATCCTTTTCCATTTTCCCTCTCCTCAGATTCAAGAGTTGAAACATTAAAACATTCACGTAGTTGTAAGCCATAAACAATTTACATCCTTAACAAATCTAAAGGGATTGTTCAGAATTAAATTCTTCACCAAATAAATAAAAAAAATGTTAGAGTAAAAGGATCCGTTTTTGATAATAAAAAGTTGAATAATAAAAAAAGGAAATGAGTTTTTGCCACAAACTCCAAAATTATAATCGCTACATCTGTGCAACCTGATTTCGTAGATCTTTGCTATTTCAAACTATGAATTCTATGATTAATGAAAACCTAAGTTTGAAATATGAAAAGTTTAAACCATCAGGTTTTAAAGAAAAAGGGATTAGAAAATTTGAGTTTGCAGCAACAACTCAGTTCCTTAGTGAAACAAGCAAAATAAAATTCAGAGCCTGGGATGAAATCATCATCATTGGGTACTATTAGAGACCCCCTTTTATTAGAGACCCCCAGATTTTCAATTGAGACACCCAGAAAATGAGAAATGAAAATATGGGGGTCTCCAGTAGTACTTCAATGATTATGATTTCTTCCCGTACTCCTGAGCTGGGAACTTAAGAATGGTGAATATCAGGATTAATGCTTAATCCTCTCTTTTTGCTAATCTTGAGACTAACATAATCTCGAGATTATGTTAGTCTCGAGATTAAGTATTTCAACAAATTTGATTATAGGAATGCCAGATTTGTTGGTTTTCTTGACTGGAAGGGTCTTCACTTAATTTTTCACCCATTTATTTATTAATACATTAGTTGAAATTGGTTTAAAAAGAATCTCAAACGTATTATCAAATATTCCTCTTCGCGGATAAATTTACAAAATGGCCGACAAGAAATTCTTTATTTGTTAGAAATTGTGGATTTCTCTCATGGGATAGAATTTATTTTCAAGGCTGTCATTGGTCAATACAATTTACGAACTATATTCCTGCATGTAACAGATCTAGACGCGATTACTATACTCCAAGTCTAATAAAGAACACACTATTCTCTATCTCTAGCCAAAACTCAAGGCTCTCTATTCTCAGCCAAACTCTAGGCTCTATATACGTCTGTATAAATCAAAGAATTCTATTGAACTAGTTTTATTTATATACAGGTGGATAAACTGACCGGGCTATCCCGGCAGGGTCAATGAACAGATAATTAAGATATTTACAAATAACATAGATAGCATTATACTTGATACAGAATCTATTACAAAATCCCCCAATCTAGACGCGATTACTATACTCCAAGTCTAATAAAGAACACACTATTCTCTATCTCTAGCCAAAACTCAAGGCTCTCTATTCTCAGCCAAACTCTAGGCTCTATATACGTCTGTATAAATCAAAGAATTCTATTGAACTAGTTTTATTTATATACAGGTGGATAAACTGACCGGGCTTTCCCGGCAGGGTCAATGAACAGATAATTAAGATATTTACAGATAACATAGATAGCATTATACTTGATACAGAATCTATTACATGCATGCACTCTCATTGGAAAAAACAATGTACGGATATCCAAAGAGAGAGAAATGAGTGGATTAAGGACTAAAATTAAAAGTTTCTACAGTGGATATTTGGATTAAGTAGTTGGGAATAAAGGTTATCCATTCTAAAGTTCCCAGCTCTGGATATCTATTATTGCAAATAGATTTCAAATCAAGTACTTAAAACATAATTTGTAAACATGTGGATTGATTGCTTTTTTTCCCGAACTTGATTAAGTAAATTGATTGCGTTAATCTTATTATAAACAGATTACACTTTTACTTATTTGCTTCCCAGGTTTGATAAATGTCTTTGTATTAATTTTAAAATATTTTTTAGAAAATGTCTGCTTAAGAAGGATTCTTTAAATCTAATTTAAACTTTAAATTCAAGGATTTTTCAAAAAGAAATATATTAAGTTTAATTTGAACTTCCATGGTGGTGTATTCATTGACACTTTTTCCAGTTCAGAATATATTCTCATTTTTCCGCAAATTGCATATATAATTTGGGATCTGGGTTCGTCGGCTTATGTTCTCCCGGTTAGACATTTTCCGACTATTTGAAATACGAATTTCTAAATGGGGACAATTGTCCTCATTGATAAAATGAATAAAGAACTTGTGGCAAACTCTCATTATTAATCTATTAATGTACCAGAGCTGAAAACTTAAGATTGCGATATCCTTAATCCCGAGATGGAATTTAAAGAATTTGAGCCGTGGTTTTAATCCGCCAAAACCCGGTTTAAATTTAGCGCCGGCTTAAATCTTGAAACATTTGATACAATTTTAAGTGGAACCAAACATATTTAAACCGCGGCTTAAATTTAAACCGCCGCTCAAATTCTTTAAATTCGGCCACTGATTGGTTATTAAAAGGAGAACAAGCATTATTTAATCTTGAGATTTAGAAAGAGAGTGGATCAAGCATCATGATCCCGATATTCACCATTCAAAAGATCCCAGCTCTGATGTCGTAGACCTTTAATATTTCAAACTTTGAATTTTGTTTGATCAAATAGTCAAAGTCTAAAATATCAAAGGTTTACACTTGAAGATTGCAGAGATATAAGGATTAAAAATGTAAAGCTTGATGCAAGTGTATTTAATATTCAACTGTTCAAGTCTTTTACAAAACTAAATTAAAAGGTTAGATTAAAATGTTACATGTTTTCAATCATGACTTCTCTCTTCTTGCAAAGCTGTTGAAAAAAAAACAAAAATTTCTAACATATAATCGGATAGGATTCAAAACTGAAGGAGCTACGAGGTCTCAAAGTCGGTAAAATAATGCCGCTTAACTTTGATCTTTTTCTTTTATCTTGTTCAGAGTGCTTTTAGTTAGAAATGAAGAATACAAAATCTTGAAAAGCAAACGTTTTCGTATTTGTATTAGTTTAATATTTATTAAAACTTATTTGTAATCAACATTGATATTGATATAGTTTCTTTTTATATAAATTATATAAATATATATACAGATATCTATATATAAAGAAAGGAAATTAGAAAAATAATATTTGTATATCTTCTTGCATTCTTTCTAAGATTTTCCTGTATCATGTTAAATAATTATTTTTAACTATTTTTAAAAACATAAATATTTTATTTTAGAGAAACTACCAATGGAGATCAAGGAATCCAAAACTGTCGAAAAAAACGGTAAAACGCACTTTTCCCACACTAGCAGTTTTTACTTTTTTTAGGCTTAACCCTAAAAAGGCTAAAAAAGTACTTTAAACGAAAAAACTAAATTTGTCAGTCAACTATTAAAAAATCTGATTGCTAACTTTTCTGGTTAAGGTGCTTGGGAGGCTTTAAAAAATGTATGTTTTAAACTTTTCAATAAATAGTTGTAATCTTTTTTAAAAGCCTTAGACATGTATATTTTAGAACTAAAAAGCACCTGCTTTAAGCTTTAGTTTTTAAGTCTTTGTCACAAACTTAAATTTTCTAATCCCAAGATCTTTGATTCGCTGACAAAGGATCCAAGAGGGAGGGTTGGCTGCTCTTAGGGTTTTGGAATTGCTCCCATTATTTTATTATAAAAAAACATAGTTTTCCTCAGATATCTCAATAATTTGATGATTTTTCTAGAAGGCTCTAAATTTGACATAGGACAATTTTTGTTTTGTGACTGTTGAATAAAACGCATTTTTTAATGGCAAAAATTAATTTAAGATTTTTTTAGGCGAATATTGGGATTTTTTTCGAAAAAAAACTTGGAAATGAGATGGCATATTAACATATTAACATACTGAGATGTATTATACCAGCTTAAATAAAACCTTTATGTATTTAGCTTACATGTTGTTTACACTTACCAATAATGTTTAATGTATAAGCTAAACAAAGTGGCGTCAGTTATGCTTATCAAAACTCTATTATCGCAACAGGCTACTTGGACTGAAATTTGTGATTTTTCCCCTCCAGATATCTAAACAAAGACACTAGAAAAGGGGTAGCGGACCCTTTTTTTCAATTTTCGGTTTTGAAGTACCCTTTTACAGGAAATTTCTGAAAATGTCGGATAAATTTTCACATTTTACTCTAAAACCCTTGGTCAAACGACCTAGGGAAGTAGCGTCAAATGCCATAGGGTCAAACTTGATGGGGTAAAATAATATAGGGTCAAACACACAGCAAAGGGTGAAACGACCTTGGGTAAAATATATAGGGTCAACAATTGCGACAAAATGGCCAAAAAAAAATATTAGCTTTATTTATAACTAAAAAGGTTACATTTTGTTTATAAAATTTCGAAATTTGTATTGTTCAAAGTTAGACATGTGGCCGACCCGCCAGGATCTCTAGCCTGTCCTAGCTGCGGCGCTCGGTCCCTAGTTTGTTCTTGCCGCAGCACTCCTCCCAGAAATTGTCTTATTTAACCTAGCCCCGATATAATACAAAATGAATATTCTTTTTATTTTGACCCTTTGTCACTTTTTTGACCGTTTGTCGTTTGACCCTCTGTCGGTGAACCAGACCTTTGCTATCTGTTGGTATAATACCTTTATTATTTCACAATTTGATATTTGATATTTGTTAATGTTTCAGCTCCTCTCACTTCAGACCAATCTCCAGTTTCTCATTCCTCTCTCTTCTCTTCTCTCTTCTCTCTACTCTTCTCCTTCCTTCTCAGATTTTAGTTTGTTTATCGAACTAATCAATAACTAATATAATTTTACCCTTAACAGTTTTGTTAAAGAGACTGAAAGTGTAATTTCAAATGACCCAGCATGCAAAGATACAAAAATAAAGTCTGTTTTTTAGTTTTTAAAGTTTTTTATTCTGATAATTGGGTCCTATAAGTTTCATGAAGTAGAAATGCGCAAGTCACTTTTGTTTGGAAACCACAATAGAAAATAATCAGTTTTGAAATTATAAACATTAATGTCTTAATGTGAATCGGAAATTGTAATCTTTGCATGGAGGGGCATTTGAAAGTTGCCTACATTCCCTTTAAGAATATACAAAGTTGAAAATGTGTATATGTATCTTGTAATTATATTTTTCAATGTTTCCGAAAAAACCTTCCAATTGTTTGAAAGCGCGAGAATGTAACGTCGCATATTAACAGTTTATCGCAATTTGTTAACCTAAAACCTGTTCTGATTGTTCTGATGTGATACAAAAATATGAGAAAAATACTTTATTCTTTGTTGACAATATAACTATAACTGTGTTGAATGCTTTATGTTATCTCTATACCCTCATATGCTATGACTCATCGAGAATAAAGGAGATATCCATGTTCAACTCTTTAAAAAAAAAAACATTATTTTAATTGGGGCTTCTCTGCAAAAAGTTACTTGCGCATTTCTACTGTTTGCTACAATTTCAGATTTCCGTATACAAAAAATCCTGTCATGGTACGTTCAATTTTCCCTTTTAAAATTAAGAAAACATTAATTTTTTTCCAAAGTTATATATTTGATAAAAAAAATATGAAAATGTGTGAAAGATGTTGTTGATTTTGTACCAAGGTATCCATGGAATACATGAATTGTTTACAATTATTTGATAAAGTATTTTTTTATGCAATTTCTGTAGAAAGTATAATGTTTGTGTGTTTCTGAATGCTCATCTAAAATTGACAAAAGAGTTTATTTTAATTTTCAAATTCCAGGTAAACTGTTTTCTTTAGATTTAGCTAGAAGAAATTCCTAACAAACTTGTTTTCGGTTTTTTTAATATTATAAATATGTTTTGATTGGCATTGAGTCTTTGCGAAACAAAATCAAATATTTAAATCTCAATATCATTAGAACCCGATGTTGTAAACCTTTGATATTTCAAAATCAGATTAATCAGAATTCATAGTTTGAAATATCTAAGATCTACAAGATTTGGTTCCAAAGATATAGTGATTAGAAAATCAGAGTTTGTGGCAAAGACTCAATTCCTTTGTTTTATTAAGGACCAACATCTTGTTATTATGATTATCATTACACAGGATTATTCTTGGCTATTTTTAGTTTAAGATTAAAATATCACAGAATATGTTTAAAAAACGAAGATAATTAAAAAACACGTTCAACCAAGCCAAAATGGTAAACTTAAAATGGTGAAAACTTTCTTAATCTTATAGTGCTAAAAACCCTATAATTGGTGTCAACTAATTGGAAATGATAAGTAGATCTTGAAAATGTCCTAAAATGTAAAAATTGAGCTAAGATGAGAGTTGTTGTACCTAAAAGAGCGTTTTTTAAATTCCTGTATCTGTATAATAGCCTACCAACACATTTGATTCAGACTTTCATCCTACAGAACTGTATCCAACATTTGTTTGACCTTCGGGGATAAGATTTCTAGCCCAGGAAATTGTTATTTGGTAGTTTTTAGTTAATTATACTAGAACGTTGGGAATTGTACATGGCACTCAAAAAAAGAAGTCACTTTAAATTAGGTCTAAATTCCAAAAAATTTCGGGAGCGCCGTTTGCCCCCCCCCCCCCCCCCCCTTTTTAGGTTTGAATCACTTTAAGTTTGAAAAAGATTACGGTATATTTAGTAAGCTGAAAATAATCTGAAATATGTCACTAATTTTATTACAAGATGAAATATTTTCTACTTTTTTCATGAAACTGAAAACTAACTTTTCAAACAAGTTTCAAACTTCCCCAGTTTAAACTACCGTCCATCAAAGGACAAACTTAAGAATTTAAAATCCTTTTTTAAGGTTTTCAATATTAAGGAAACATGTGTTCGACTTCCTAGTGTAAAAGAGGCAGAATTTATAAAAATGGTCAAATTACAAAAGTTAAAATTTTACAAGATTTAGAAAAAAAGAAACAACACAAAATATAATGATGTGTTACTTGAACCAGCGCACAAGAGCAATTGCTGAACTACGCTTGCACGGTTCACCTACTTCCTGCTATTCATTAAATCTGGTTTCTAACCTTGGCTCTGCAATGTATTTGTAGTGAGTAGTGACCTATCTGGATATTAAATATCAGTACCAACCGTATTAAATTTTGATCTGCACTTGACCCGAGTAAAAGCTGGGATCATCTCCAGATCAGGGTCTTAAAACCGGTTTTTAAAAAAATGGGGCTTTTAGACTTTGAGCTCTGATATGTTGTATGAAGAGGAGAACTATGAGAATATCTAATGAGAACTGTGGTCTTTAATCCATTAGTTGAATCTGAAGAGAGAAGAACCTGTCAATCTGCCCCCATCCCTTATTAATATTAGATTTACCACAATTTCCTTAGACAATTTATACTTATTAATTTGCACACAGTTTTGCAAACTATTGAAAAGGTGAAATGAAAGTGTGGACAGAGAATTCTACAAGTGGCTATATCACATGATTATGTAGTGACAGCCAGACTTGGGTTCTACAGGTTTTGATTCTCTCTCTCTCTCTCTCGAATAAAAAGGCTAAAAACGACTGGCTGGCAATATTAGGAAAATCGTCAATGCATTAAATCCCAAAATACACAGTACAACATTTTAATTACAAGGATTAGAAAAAATAGAAAATGTGGCAATTAATCAGTTCCTTTATCGAAAATCACGCCTTTTGTTTTGTCAAAAAATGAAACCATTGTCTGTAAACAATATAACGTGGTTCAATTCTTTTTTAAAAAAAGATATCCATAGACGGTATTTTTGGAATTAATTTGATCCGTTCAAAATGCATTTAAAATTCATCTTTAAAGAGCGCAGAGTTTGGGCAAGAGCATAAACTTACTTAAGCAGTTTTGTCAAATAATTCAAAGCTTTCGCTTTTATATTTTAAAAGATTATGCTCATGATGTTTATTAATAAAATTTTCGTGAAGTTTAAATCTTTAATTCCCTGAGGATAAAGTTTTGTCATTATTTTAATGGAAAAGAAAGAAAATTAAAGAATGGAATATTGAAGACCAATATCTAACCTAGTCCTAAGCCATGATTTTTACATAATACTTTTAAGGAGAAAGAATCGAGCACATCACTAAATTACATCTATTGTAAAAAGAATATTGATGTAATGTATTGGTTTACAAAACTTACAAAATTATGATGAGTTTTTAATTATGTTTTAACAAATATTATTATCTTCTAAGAAATACTTTGTCGGAAACTTTAATTTTCTATTTTTACGAATGTGCTTCCAGTTCTATCTCTAGGTATCAATTCCAAGTTGTCCAACTCAAAGTAATTTAATCAAACATAAATTTTAGGCTTCTTCCTAAACCTAACCTTTCAGGACGATTAGGGTCCATTTTCATTCACATCTTTATAAACTTATCAATGAATTTTATTCTGTTCTAATAACTCTTTGTTTCGTAGAAGACTTCCTTTCTTTTGATTCAATATAACCTTTAATCAGCTAATATCAAATTCATTTAGTTTTCTTTTCTTTACCATTTTTCTCATAAAGAATGGGTAATATAAGAGTAAGTTTTTAAAAGAATATTCTACGTCTTATTTCACTTATCCCAAACAAACGGACCAAATTTTGGTTGTTAAATTTTAACATTTCATGTGTGACAAACGAAAATGAATTGAAAAAAGGAAGGTTTTTTGCCACACACTCAAATCTTCTGATCCCAATATCTTTGCAACCTGATGGTTCAAACTTTTGATATTTCAAACTTAAATTAATTTATCTATAATTATTACTAGTTTGAAATATCTAAGGTCTATGACATTGGGTAGGGATGTTAACGTTTTCATTTTTCAGAAAAACGATCGTTTCGTTATGAAAACGACGACGAAAAATCGAAAACGAAACGATCGTTTTTAAAAACGATCGTTTTTTAAAAAGTTCGTTTTTTTAAAAATGGTCGTTTTTAAAACGATAGTTTTTCAAAACGCTCGTTTTTAAAAACGATCGTTTTTCAAAACGATCGTTTTTATAAAATTCGTCGTTTTGTTAACGATCGTTAACAAACGATCGTTTTTTTTCTGAAAACGAAACGATTGTTTTTGAAAACGAAACAAAAAACGATCGTTTAACGATCGTTTACAAAAACGATTAACAACCCTAACATTGGGTTACAGAGCTATAGAGATTAGAAAATAAGAGTTTGTGGCAAAAACTCAACTCCTTTCTACAGTTTTGTTTCACTATAAAACATTTAAATATAACTTAAGAAATACCAATTTTTTATAAAGTAAAATGTGAAAGGTTTTTTTAAATTTAAATTTTGGCTTTATAACAAACAATTTCCAGATTAAACTTTGCCAAATAATAACTAATAAACTTGTTGTATTAAAAGAACTGTAGGTGCGCGTAATTATAAGTTGCTGCATGTACAATTCATAACAGTACCCGGCCTTAAAAACTCTATATACTATCAAAAATGAATATGATGTTCATATGTTTATCTATATATAAATTTGGCTTGTCTTGGTGTTTGTTTGTTTGTCTGTCTGTTTGTTTGTATCCAATAAACGTCAAAACGGCTGAACCGATCGGGCCCAAATTTTTTGTGGGACATCTAGGGACCCCAGGGAAGGTATATGAATGATCAAAATTTTAAATATTTGTCTCCATCAAAATTCGATCTTCATTAAATTTTTGAAAATTTTGAAAATCCACGAAATTTTTTGTGAAAATCCGCGAATTATTTTTGTTTTGTTTTACGATGTACACAAAGAGAACATGTTCACAATTAATTTAGAAGATGGGCGCGAAGCGCCCTCTAAGGCTAGTAATCTTAAAAACTGATTATTTTCAACTAGAGGTTCTCTACATCAAGTTTTATCAGATAATGGGTACAAGGGTATATTTTCAACTAGAGGTTCTCTACATCATGTTTTATCAGACAATGGGTACAAGGGTACCGTTGTGAACCGGGCATGACCCTCTTTAAATGAAAGATCACTGAAGGTCACGACGATAGTCAATTTAATTGAAATTATAAACTTAAATTATTTTAATAATCTTCCGAAAAAC